TTAGAAAGAGATATTTGTCTGCATGAAAATTAATTTTATTATATATATATATATTAAATCCGGTTAGCACATTTGATTGTTCTAAATCGAATGTGTTTGATGAACGACGTACCTACTAGATGAATGAGGAGAGTCGGTGCATCAAGAATCAGAAGGCATTTCACAAGCCATTTTAGCGATCAGTCAAATAAATAGGAGGCTCGCTGGATTGTGACTGACCTGCACACAAACCATTGCGATTGTATGTATTATAGAATATTATGTTATTAATGCTAAAAACCGTTTTGATTCTTGCGCTTTTCTATAGACAGTACTTGATTGCACGCATGTCTCGCAACGATAACAAGCCGTATAGCTCTATACTAGCAGAGAACCATCAATTACGCACCACGTGAGAGGAGGAAGTTTGCGTCGAGCCTCTACTGAGCCTCGTGATTGATGCCTTTTGTCCATGTCGTTTCACAAACATGCATTTACTTTACGTTGAGATTTGGATTTTACTAAAACTTGCAATTGATTTTTGATGAACGATATTTTTGCTGAAAAAGTATAAAAAATTAAACCTTCGTGTTCGAACTACTTTTTGAGGACGAATATCAATAGTTTGATTATGGAGACAAAAATTCATATTAGGACCATCTAACACTTAGCAATTATATAATCAACAATATTATTAGTCAACAATCAAGCAATGAAAATTCCGTTAGCTTAATAGCCCACTGAAAATAATTTATGTTGCAATATTTTGCAGGTTCTGTACACATTGATCATGAACAAAAGCACTGTTTTCTCAATAGCCGTCTTGCAGCTATTCTGTGTCAGAGCAGCAGCATCTCTCATCATCAAACTCCGCATGACCGTCTTGCATGCATGCACAAATTTATTGCGTAATAAGTACGTGTTTATCTAAACGCTCTAGTATGAATTCGCGTAACTCAAGCCTGTTTATTACGCGTAGAGGAGGAAAGGGTGGGTTCTCGGATTTATATACTTTATCGAGTTCCTGTCATGTGCACCAAGTTCCGATGCAATAAATTCTGTTGCCGTTCAAGTGTGAGAGAGAAATTTTCTTCGTTTATCGCCATCTTCTTCTTCCCTTTTTCTATACCTGCGTTTCGTTTTCTGTAGCCATTTTCCACACGATGCCACACGCTTTTCGTTTCGTGCTTTCTGTTGTTGGTTTTTTCTCTTTCATTTGCACTCTAGCTACAAACGTTTACTTTTTTTTTTCTTTCTTTTTGTTTCGTTTGTAGAGAGTTGATGGCTTGGTAGGTGGGAACTGAGTGATTTTCAGTTACGCGATGGAGTCAATCTTTAAGAAATAAAATTTATTATCATTTTCATAGCTGAATAAATGTGTAAACATCGCTTCAATTCGTATGAACCAATTTTCTCAACCATACACATCCAATGAAACAATGCTGAATCTAAAAAACAAAGGAGCTCGGCGTAACACTTCGTATCTGTCTGAGGGAAACAAACGCTTTTAATCATGAGCTACGTTGCGTTGTTTGGGAATCGTGCACGAGTTGGTTCGACGTGGATAAAGCTCCGGCGGTGCCAGCCTGCGCCACCACTGTGAGTTTCGAATCCGCAGCTGTCCGTCACAGTGGCTATATACAGACGCAGCATCTACAACGCAGATGTATCCAATGCGTGCGCTCTGAACCTTATAGATACATACGTGCGTCTTAACAAGCAAAACGCCGCTACACGCCGTAAGGGAAAAACAGCTCGTTTGCGTGTACGATATATATGGGAGTTTGTTTATTTTTGTCTTGGGATTGATCGCGTATCCTTATAAAGAGCGGTTTTTTTCTGGTGATCATGGATTTTGGATTTCGCTAATGCTTAAATTAATAGGGCTTTGTAATTAAATTACCGTAGTCAAATAGTTAATTACTATTTTATTTATTGCAATTCAGTTGAACATTTTATGAAATTTTCAAACTTCTATTTCTACATTGTACCACTAAATAATCAAATATATACGAAAGCGAAAACCAATACTTATAAGAGCTTTCATACTGAATGAAATATTTTTATAGCCTCGTTTATAGGTTGACCTGCTTATTATGAAACAGAATTTAATACCCGCGCGCGCCTCGAGGCGAAGTTTCTAATTACCGACGATTAACCGACTTTATTTTTTTTTTATTTAGATAAAGTGCGTGAGATAAAAGAGTGGAAATGAGAGGCTATTATGAAATTTGATTGTATATAATATATCATTAACCGAATAAAAAAGCTATTTTCGTTAGTTTTAAGGACAACTAAATCCCGCAAGATGTTCAGACTACACAACGCTAAAGCTAAGTCGCATATGCACATGGCATCGAGTCAACAAAACTGCGCGTTGGCCGTGGCTTTCGGTTCTTATGTTAGTCAAATCTCTCGCAAGCCACTATAGCGTAAGAATAAGCCAATTAACCTGCTTCTTTTTTTCCTCGCGTCGGCTGCACCAAGCTGCTGTTACATAGATTTCAATAATCATTTAGACTCACACACTCACTCGCACGAGTTCTTTGATTTCATCGCATATTTTTGTTTTTCAATGTCAAAATAATAACAAAACATGTTTGAATAATACACTCGGTAAATGCATCATTGGTCCAATTTAGCACACAATTGAAAAGTGTGTTAAACAGCCTGGAGGTCCGATGGAAGAAAGACGCATTCTACGAGCAAGTATAAAGTAGTACCCTTAATGTTTTTGAAAGTTTCCTGAAGAGCTTCATCACCTCGGACTACAAAAGCTCCTGCTCACACCCTACGGATCTGATCTTCTCTTTGTGCTTTAGCGCGTGACGGCCAAAAAAGCTCAATATTTTTCTTCTCTCACAGTCATATCGTTTCGCAGACTATTTGCTCAGGCTTATTGTTCATTATATAAAATAATAATGTGAATTGTATACATACATATTACGCGATTTGTGAAACAGATAAAAAATTTATTTATAAAATGGCGCGAAGTGTTTCTCATGTTCGTCTAAAATGTCTACTATTTAAGAGAGATTAGCGATTTCCAAAAAATTGTAGATCAAGTCGAATAAAGTGAAATAATAAAATAACTAAAAAACATACAGACGCGTTAATGTGCTATGTTCTTGATAAGGCAATTTCGCTAGAATCCTATTCTCTTCCTCTCCTTTTCATGTTCTTGAGCCTAAGCTCGGCAAACGTATCGAGCCATTGGGTGATTCTCTCTCTCTCTCTCTACTTGTCCGAAATTGCGCCTTGCATTGAACCACGAGCGGGTTGGGGGCACGGCCTAATTACTAGATAGTGGCAACAAGCGCTCGTTTCGCGCACGCGACCAATAGCTACATGCATAATGCCTACTTGCATGGAAAGGGTGTATGTGAAAGTGAGATCTTACTTTAATTGTTGTGTTCATATGGTTGTGCGGTTGTTACGATGGTGCATGTATTGATTTATGCGGATCTATTTCGCATTTGTGTTATCGTTAGAATAATATCTGCCCGAAAAAGTTTTCTAATCCTAATGTTTAAGCTTATAGTCTCTATAAGCGAGAAAAATCGATAAAACTGCATGAGAATAAAAGAACTCAGCTGAAATAGAAGGCAGACGAAAATTGAATCAGAATAAAGTTTTCGCTCCATTTAATTACGACGCGCAGCGCCTTAGAAATACATACAAGCATTCAAGTGCCCACTGTTCTCTCTCTCGCAATGTAATTTCTTTCTTAGTCTGTCTCTCTCTCTCTCTCTCTCTCTCTCTCTCTCTCTCTCTCTCACTCGCATTGTCGTGCATCGATAGCAATTTCCGCAGGTCCTTTAGATATAATGTCTACGACAGCGTCCAATATCTAATTCGATTACAACTGATATGCCAATTACGCTGAGAGAGAGAGAGAGAGAGAGAGAGAGAGCGAGAAAGAGTGAGAAAGAATGAGAGATTCCATTGAATTCTTTGATCGATCAATTTGAAGATGCATTGAGATAATGGAAGAATTATTTTAAGTTCTAGTTAGATGATTATTCAAAATGGCTAAAAGATCAAATTAATAAAGAGGCCGAAATTTCACGAAGATAGTCGAGAAATTCAAATTTCAAAGATCATTGTTAAATCATTGAACTTTGCACTCCAACCCTCCTTATCCCAATCCTTTCCAAGAGAGATCGAACTCGGCTTCGAAAGCCACTCACTAGCAATGTTAATTATCACCAAGCGCCGCGAAGGTCTCTCGATCGTAATTGGATCTTGGCTCGAACGAGGAGAAGTCATTTGGGAAGGAAAACAGCTTGAACATTGTCACCGTGACAAAAGAAAGCGTCACCGCCGTTGCTGCGCAAAGAACTTGAAGTTTTTCACTTCTTATTGAGAGCGAACGTTTAATTTGTTCGACGCGTACAGGTCAATGCTTCTCTCTCTCTCTCTCTCTCTCTCTCTCTCTCTCTTCCCCTCTCTCTCTCTCCCTCCCTAACTCTTGTTGCTATCGACAGAGGCGCTAGATAAAAGGTGTTAGCTCAGTTACTCCATTGAGGAAGTAACTTTTTAGTCGTGTTTCGATTAGCTCCATTGAATCATTACTTTTCTCTCCAGCTTTTTTAGCACGTTTTCCGAGATGCTTATAGAGAATCGAATTGTTCACAGATTATTTTTCTCGAAATTGATAGGCTCCTTTTGGAATCGGAAAAACTAAGGCGATCACGCCCGTTTAAATGCTACAGAAAATACACTTATTTCATATGAAAATTCAAATCTATCTGTAGTTGTAGATATGGAAATTAAATCGGCTATTGATAACTTATATAACAGATGTATTCGTCTAAGGAAATAACGTTGTAATATTTATTTACACAGTAGAGTTATTCCTCCTAAATTTTTCATCCTAAGATCGCTTTTTACAAACTTTTGATATTTAAATTTCCTACCGAAACTTATAAAAAAGTAAATTTCAAGGAAAGAAGATTATGAAATATTTGGCGACGAAAATGATTCAAACAAGAAGCCAAAGTGTGAAAGTAAGTTTCCACGATGTCAGAATCGAAAAATTGGACAAGCAAGACGGATGATGGAACTAGGTGAAGATGAAAATAAAGCCATGGCTATCCAACGCCCTATTCGTGGTGATCGTATTCATACGACTGAGGACAACCATGTCGCCAACGCAACCGCTGCTCCCATTTACAGGCGACGTAGCGGTCCACGTTGAGTCGCCAACAATGCAGTTGTCATAGCCATTCCTGCTGATGCCCGAGACCGAAATATCATTATTCATGGAGATGTAGATCGTACAGTCACGGCTGAGAAATATCATCAGAAGGGCTGTAATAAGAAGTTGTATCTGACAACACTGTTGACGCGACTACTCCAGCTCCTACTAGTATCATGGTCGTCGCTGCTCGATGAATCGCTGGCGACGATGTTAGAGCAGCTATTCCATCTCCTGCTTGGGGCCGTGTTGTCGTTGCTGAAGGCTCCACTGACATCATTCTTGACGCTACTGCTTCAGCCCCCACAAGGAGCAGCGTTGTCGCTGATTGACGTATGGCTAGCGACGATGTTGCTGCGGCTGCTTCGGCGCCTACAAGGGACAGTCTCGTCCTTGCTCGACCTCCTGTTGGCGATGCTGTTGTCGTAGTTGCTCCTGCTGCTGCTGAGGATCGCGTCGTAGGTGCTAAACGTGCTGCTGATGACGTTGTCGCCGCTGCTGCTCCGGCTCCTACTGAGGACCGCGTCGTCAGTGCTACACGTCCTGTTGATGATGCTGTTGCCCTGGCTGCTACGGCTACTGCAGAGGGCCGTTTTGTCAGTGATAGACGTGCTGCTGATGACGTTGTTGGCGCTGCTGCTCCGGCTTCTGCTGATGAACGCGTTATCGATGCTAGACGTGCTGCTGATGACGTTACCGCGGCTGCTCCTGCTACTGCTGGGAGCCGCGTTGTCGCTGCTAGAAATGCTGCTGATGGCACTGGTGGTGTGGCTACTTCGGCATCTGTTGAGGTCCGCGTCATCGGCGACGTGATGCTGATGACGCTATTAAGGCGGTTGCTCCTAATCTTATTCGGGGCTACGTCATCGTTACTCGAAGTATCGCTAGCAACGCTGTTGCCTCGTCGTCGTAGACGTGTTGCTGATAAAGTTGTTAACGCAGTCGCTCCGGTTACCAGTGAGAGTCGCGCCGTCGATGCCTGACGTGCTGCTGATATCGCTATTCCCGCGGCTGTTCTATTTTCTGCTGAGGGCCGCATTGTCGGTGGTAGAAGTACTGCTGATGGCGTTGTTGCTGCGGCTGCTCTGGCTATTGCTGAGGGCCGCATTGTCGATGCTACACGCACTGCTGATACCGCTGTTGCCGAGGTTGCCCCGGCTACTGAGGGTCGCGTCGTCGATGCCAGACGTGCTACTGATGGCATTGTTATCGTCGCTGTTCTGGCCACTGCTGAGGGACGTATTGTTGGAGACGTAATGCTGATAACGCTGTTGACACGGTCACTCCGGATCCTGGTCGGGACAGCATCATCGTTGCTTGATATATCGCTAGCGACGCTATTGCCTCGTTGACCTAAACATGCTGCTGATGATGATGATGGCACGGTTACTCCGGCTCCTGCTGAGGGTCGCATCGTCGATGCTAGACGTACTGTTGATGACTCTGTTGCCGTGGCTGCTTCTTTTCTTGTTGAGGGACGTATTGTCGGAGACGCGATGGCGAAGACGCTTTTGTCATTGTCGCTCCAGATCCAGGTCGGAGCTGTGTTATCGTTGCTCGACGTATCGCTGGCGACACTATTGCCTCGTCGTCCTAAACGTGCTGCTGATGATGGTGATGAGATCGTTGCTCCGGTTCCTGCTGAGAGTCGCGTCGTCGATGCTAGACGTACTGCTGATGACTCTGTTGTCGCAGCTGCACTAGTTCTTACTGAGGGCAGCATTGTCGGAGACGTGATCGTGATGTCGCTTTTGACATGGTCGTTCCGGATCCTGTTCAGTGCAGTGTCATCGTTGCTCAACGGACCGCTGGCGTCACTATTGTCTCGTTGTCGTAAAGATGCCGCTGATAACTCTGTTGCCGCGGCTGGTCCGGCTCTTGCTGAGGGCCGTATTTTCGGAGACGTGATGGCGAAGACGCTTTTGTCATTGTCGCTCCAGATCCAGGTCGGAGCTGTGTTATCGTTGCTCGACGTATCGCTGGCGACACTATTACCTCGTCGTCCTAAACGTGCTGATGATGATGGTGATGGCACGGTTACTCCGGCTACTGCTGAGGGTCGCGTCGCCGATGCTAGACGTACTGTTGATGACTCTGTTGTCGCGGCTGCACTAGTTCTTACTGAGGGCAGCATTGTCGGAGACGTGATCGTGATGACGCTTTTGACATGGTCGTTCCGGGACCTGTTCAGTGCAGTGTCATCATTGCTCAACGGACCGCTGGCGTCACTATTGTCTCGTTGTCGTAAAGATGCTGCTGATGAATCTGTTGCCGCGGCTGGTCCGGTTCTTGCTGAGGGCCGTATTATCGGAGCCCCGATGATTATTACACTTTTGACATCGTTGCTCGACGTATTGCTGTCGAGGATGTTACGTCGTCGTCGTTGTAAGCGTTCTGTTGTTGACGGTGATAACACGAATGATTTGACTACTGCTGAGGGTCGCGTAGGCGATGTTAGACCTACTGCTGACGACGCTGTTGCCGTGGCTGCTCCGCCTCCGGCTGTGGGATGCATCGTCGATGCTGATGACGGTGTTGGCACGGTTGCTTCGGCCACTTCTGAGGGTCGCGACGTCGATGCTAGACATACTGCTGATGACGCTGTTGCCGTGGCTGCTCCTGCGCCTGTTCGAGGTTGCATCGTTGTTTCTAGACTTGCTGCTGATAATGCTTTTGTCACGATTACTTCAGATGCCGCTCGGGGTCGCATCGTCTCTCCTACATGTGCTGTTGTTGACACTGTTGATACATTCGCTCTGATTCTTGGTCCGGGCCACGTCGCTGTTGTTGCTGCAGCTCGTACACAGTGCCACTCATGCCCCCATCTTATTGCGGTTGCTCTCACAGCTCCCAAATCATCATAACTTAATACGTCACTGTGCGATGAATTGTCGGATGAGGACATCTAGAGGAATAAAAAGATTAATTCGACTATTTTAACGACGTTTACAGTACAGTACTTCAGGATAAAATTAGGCTAAATTTGACCCACTCAAAATTCTATCCTTTCTTGTAACTCATTGACAATCACGGAAAGTTCACCCTTTTTTAGCAAAATATCAACAGCTAAATCATTGTCAACATTCAAAGATCTATTTAAATGTTTCAGATTTAAAAATTCTTTTAAAATGTTAGCCATAACATGAAACTTTTCTGACAAAAAAAATCTGTTGCATTTTTTTTAAGTATTAAAAGACAAAGCCTACGATGACAGCCTAAAAAATCGTTATTTTTGTTATATCAGAATTAAAAATATTTTATACAAACTCTGGAAATGAGATTCGGTAATTCTTAATTATCATTAAAATTATCTTCGGAAATAATACTCCAAACTTGATCGAGGATGAGTCTCGAATAGTATAAATTGCGACAAATTTGAAAAATACTTTTTCTGCCATAAAAATTGTGGATCATAGTTTTGGCAATTTACATAATTCTAATTTAATAGATCATTTAAATGGTAAAATTTTTCATTCAATTCTTGCTTTTTATACAAAATGTAGTTCTTCAGCGAGCAAAAGCAAAAACTAATTTAAAAAAACTAACGCAATTCATATTCTGAGAAGCGAACTTAAGAATTAACGCTTGATTGATTCCAATAAAAATATCTGACTTACAAAATCAAGATATTCCAAAAGATGCTCGCGAGCGTCCGAAGGATGTTCTGATTTTAGAAACGAACGATAATAATACAAACAATCAACCACAAGCAAAAAAATTAAAGTCAAACTTTTATTCCTTCCGTTGCTAATCAAAAAATCACTCGCTTCCAAATTGTCGTGAATTTCCAAAAGTTGAATTGCTGTATAAAGGGTGTAGTCACATGTATTTTGAGTTCCCGATGGAAGAATTAGAATAGTCATATTACGCACTGAAAATGGTACGGTTACATGGCCAAGTAATAAGTTAATGAAAATATTATTAACAATAATATCATACAGTTATAATGAAACTGCGATGAGGTTGCGACATGAAAGGTTTACCTTTGTGGCGTAGAATTCTATCTATAATGATACGAATAATCGATAAAAGATGAGACCACAAGGTAATTCAAGTATAGAGACTTGATTGTGGACGGTTTGGCTGGTAGTACTGATATAATTAATTTAATTGCTATGAAATTTGAGTATTTTATTTGAATTGATAATAATTAGTAATTTTAATGAAAGAAATGTTACATATACTTATATTAACTTATGCATTATGTCTTTTTACTGATTAATATATTCTGTATTAATGTGTACTAGTGTTATTTAGCGCGCTTCATGGGCTCATTTTTTTGATGTTTTTTTCTGTTATTTATTAACATTATTTGCACCTTTTAAATGAAAACATAGGAATTGTAATGAACACAAATACATCATGCTGTTTAAAATAGACTACATCTATCAATATTCATTGATGAATAAAAATAGAATTTGTACCTATATTTTCACAGAAACCGATGAACTTTTACTCATTTTAGGATATATCGGAAAAATTATCCAAAAAATTAATTCAACCTACGATCGATAAAGCTTTACATTTTTATACAATACTAAACTTTACATACTCAATAGTAGTGATCATGGCTCCAATCTTATATTCGAATGATAGTAATACATTTAATATAATGTGCTGTTAGTTGCCTTTATGGAAACAATAATGAATATTCTTCAAATTTAACGAGTTTAACATTCTACTAATCAATTTCCGTTAATCACGTACTTTTTAATATGAAAGTGTACTCTCCTTTATTCTATTCCATTCATTTTTTTCTCTTTCTGCCAAATTTTAACACGACAATATTAATTTCAGTATCACAGGTGGTTATAAAATTAACGATTTGCACTGATAATTTCAAAACAACGTCTTATGTTCTCAAAATAATTTATTAATGGCATATTTCCATTCTTACAAATTATTATTCAAGTTAATTATTTATAAATTAAATTTACTGCTGAAATATAAATCTCACACTTCTTGATATATAATAAAAATTTTTCTAAGTATACAAAAATCCAAAATTTTGTACTCTTTTTTAACATCAATCAATCACAGGGCTGGATGTCGGCGACTCATCATTTTTCAAGATAAGAGAGTAGGAGAATCAGGAGAATATAAATACAAAATTGAAATTTTCTAGATAAGAAGAATGTTATGAAACTAAATAATATTTATTTCAATCTATTTGTAGCGATCGTTAAAAAAAAGACAAGCTCATTGCTTAACAAGCGAATTTCAATTTGACTGATTTTCCTTTGTTACCAAATTCGTTGTTACCTTGGTTACCAACCACTATAAAAGACTCAGACAATAGTTTCTTCGCTTTTTTTTTGTTCCTTTATTTTATTCACATGCAAATGAGGTTACTTTAACGAAGATTGTACCTCTCAATATAAAGTTAGTCAGTTTAAATAAAATCTCGAGATTTTCACCAATAACGTCATTTTTTACTAACTTTCGACGCTTACAAATTTTTAGCACAATGATTGAATGTACGAAAAACTTACTTTGACAAAACTGTAGTCAATTGATCGCCAAAGTTCACAAATAATCTAGGTCAGAAGACTGATGCTAAGGCTCAAATTTGGAAATATTTACTGATGAAGTGAATTGACTTCGTATCCTTTATATCCTGACGTTTGTCAGACGGGACTAGATTAAACGTTAATCCGTTTAAGTAATCCATTGTTAAATTAGCACAATCCCGTTAACGTGCTCTATATTTAACTCATTAAAATGTAGATAGTTTACAGAATTTTGTTTTTCGTTATCATAATCTTATTATAAGATTAGAGAATTACGGCATAGGCAATAACACGTGCAACTTAATTTGTAATTACTTTCATGCTAATTAAAACTAAATTTCTTAATGAAATTTTAGGATAATCTAAAAATAAGAAAATAACCATAAAGAGTTATAGCTGGAAGGTCGCACTATGGAGCAAATGAAAAATAACGACAACAAAAATTAGTCAACCATTCATCGAGTGCAAGCCCACCATGCCGAGAAGACAGAGATAGCGAGCAGAGAGAGAGAGAGAGAGAGAGAGAGAGAGAGAGAGAGAGAGAGAGAGAGAGAGAGAGAGAGAGAGAGAGAGAGAGAGAGAGAGAGAGAGAGATGAGATGAAAAAAAGAGAAAGAGAAGGACAAAGGCTCGGCGGGAGCACAAAACATTTTCAATCAAACGGCAATAATGCGTCCAATTTTCCAATGCGGAGGAAAACCGACCGACCAACGCAGCGCGCGAGACTGTGCGGTCGTCGTACACAGCGGAGCTTTTAGCCTCTGGCTCCTTTTATCTACCTCGCTATTTTTCTTTTGCAAAGTGTATAGATGATGCAACGCAGCTACTGGACTGAAGAGAGTTTTTTTTTCTTATTCTGGTTTCACTATTTTCCTTTGTTATTCAGTGTCCCAGTCGAATTGGATATTTTCCGAAAATTTACTGTATATGTCTGGTTTTCCAATTTGACTACGGTATTTTACTAAATAAAATTCGGTTTTTCTTCGTTGATGTTTATTATAATTAACTTTCATCATGACAAAATTGAACGATGTTGAGATAATATGTATTTTCATTCTTAATGTTTACAGAAAAGACGCACACTTTATTTCGACGATAAATAAAATTTGTCGCAATAGTTTTGAATGATGTTAGCGACGTCGTCCATTTTTGGAGCTTGAGATTTATAAGAGCATAAGAATTGAATTAATTAATATTTTTTATAACGACTATAATTATGTATTGAAGAATGACCGATAAAACAAAGAAAATGCAAGACTTACTGAGTAATCTACGCGAACTTTAATTACAGCTAAATCGAGTAATAAAAAACAAAGTAGCTGACAATGCGAAAGGAGTCGAAGACGCGATGACAACGGCAAATAACAACACCAGCAAGTTTCCGAAACAATAAAGACGAAGAGTCGACCCGGAAACACCGTTGCTGCTACTGATGAAAACGCAGTGTCGTTGAATAAGAATACTCGCCAGGGAAAAGATACTGTTGTCGAGATGATGAAAAAGCAGGAAAGAAGGCGTAAGAATGAACAACAACGCTCTGCCGAACCCAAAAGTTCAACTGCATTAATTGTTTCTTCGCGAAACTTTTTGCAGCTTTCATTTATTAGCGTGACACGAAAGAAAAGTACCGTAATAATTGTCGTAAACGTAGCGTTTACACAGAAACTCACTTAGGAAACTTCGTTGGCACGATAATAATAGTCAGAGCCGTTGTCCAAAAAGGAAGTAACACAGCATTGTTATGCGTTGCGAAAAGAATGCCGAGGAAATGCACTCTGAGATTTCCACCCTCCTCCCTTTCTTTCTTTCCCTTTCTAGCGCAAGGTGACGTCGAACTTTGTTGAAAAAAAGTTGCTGCGAGTTCTCTGTCTGCTTGCCTGCATGCCTGCCTGCCTGCCTGCTGACGAGAACAATTTTCTTAGTTAATTCTTCGTTCCTCTGACTCTCACAGTGCTCTCGCGGGTAATTGTGTAAGTGAGTAGAGACAGAAGTTTACGCATTCTACTTTTTTAATTTTCATTCAATTTTTCCTTCTATATTTCCGAGATTACGGAGTTGCAATGACATTTATCTCGTAAATTTCGCTATTCGCTTTGTCAATTTTAGTAAAGAATATTATTACTAGTGTGAAGTGCACCAGTTGATTGATGCCAACTTAATTTCTTTTTGATTATATCGTATTTTAACGTTATTAGGCAACGCAAATAAACAAAAATGAAAAATAGATATTCATCTTGTAAAAAAACAACTATTCACAAAGAAAAATTAAAAAAATTGAAATAATGATGAAACGAAGCTCGTACTTAAAATTCATCTATTCTCTCTGTTAGTCTGTGTCCACGCAATTCGCCGCAGTAATACCGAACACGTACACTCGATGAGTATTCACAGAGCGTGCAATCATCAAAATTTCATGGACTATAATCGCAATGGCCTAGTGAATGGGCGCACGAGTAAGAGAGAGTGAGAGAGGAGAGATAAGCTCTTGGCCATATCGAAAGGTAGCGGGGCTCTCTCTCATCGCAGCCGTTCTATCTTCGACGCTTCGCCCCTTCAACACAGGTGCACAATATAAAGCGTGCGTGTAGCGGCTATTATAAGTTTGGCGTTTGGTTAACTGGAGCTATGGAGGAGAAGAGCTTTAATGTGAATTCGCGACAAATTAAGGCTCTAGTTAGATGATCTTAGTTGAATCGGTGGAGGCAATGCTGGCTAGAATAAATGCATGTAGTCGACTACCGATCGAGCACGGCTTCAACTAAAATAAAACTATGATATATGAGAATAACGATAAAGAAAAATCCAGTTGGATGATTCTTAATTCGTGATATTGTCGGTGAGTATAAAACATTAGCTTTGATGATTATGAAGTACACATTCATTCAGATTTGAGCCGCGATAAATTTGGTGGCGACAAAACAGGGAGAAGAATCGATTGATTCAATTTTAGAACTATCTTTAATTTCTGTGCATTCCAAAAATAAAAGTAGATGATAAGTAATATATAAGTATCGGGGTTCTCAAGCCATCTTTTGCTTTTGCAGTAGGAACTGACAGAGTCAAATGTATATTTTACATGTCTACAGTGTATTGCGATGAACGAAGATTCAATATCGACATTTAAAGCTAACGTTTCTAGACTTTCAAATATATTTACATTTGTGACAAAAATACTTCGTAATACATTCGGATCATCTAGATAGAATAAAGGTTATAAAAACTGTCGACTATACCGTTCGAATGTGATGCTGCCGCCTAGTGAATTACAAATGCAATGATAACATTGTTTTATAAACTTAAAAAAGTCAAAACTTCACCATCAGTGCCTAAAATACGAGAACAATAAAGTTCTCTCGATTAATTTAAAAAAGAAGTACTCGCTAGCATTCCCGTATCCTTTTGACATAAAGTTTTTGATAATGTGATTAGATTTTCCATGCTATTTCTGGATTAAAGAAAATAGTGTGCAGATTGTAAAATCTCAGCTAACAGTTGTACTCGTTCAGTCGGGCGTTTAATAGCTGTTGCAAAACAATGACAAAAGAACAGTTTCGCTCAAGGCAATACGTCATTAATGAACTCCGAATGTTTACAGAAAAGCCGAACAAAATCCCGCGCAGGTGACTTATACAATTCTTCTCAGCGCGGAAAAACAGAGAGTAAAATTGGAAAGTTTCGACGACCTTATTGACTGTCCGTTAATCGAAATCGCTTGTAAAGGGCACACAGCAATGATCAAGGAGTGGGAGCTTCATTGTGAACGAATGATTGTCGGTAAATCTCGTAGATGTGTATTTATTTTGGAAACGTAAAACGAATGCGCACTACACGATTGAACGTATTGTCATCAGTCTCAGAAGTTCGAATTTGAAGTTTTTATTAGTTTTTATTACAATATAACAATCAGTTGTTGAAATTTAAATAGAATTTACGCGTTTTTGAGATACAAATTTATCGTTATGAGATAGCATGTAATCTTAGCGAAATATTAATACGATTTTCAAATGTCCAAATTCAATTTTAAGAGCGTTATTTCACATAGGTGAATATGAGAAGTAGAAATTAGTGAAATTAAGTATGCTAATTAGAACAATTTCGTAGTTTCTTTCACGCACATACATCCACGTATTCACATGAAAGACACAGCAAAAACCTCATGCATCGCTAGCCCCGAAAAGCCTCTGGAGCGTATGTGCATTTTTTTTGGCAAAGTCGAGCGTGCGCGTACTCGACGTTAAATCGGCTGCCAGTTGGCAGCGTTCCAAGTTTGCACACACACATACACGGATTTTCGAGGACGTGAGCGTTCCAGATCTGCCATGCGTTGCGCGGCCTCGTCTCTTTGTCTCGCGAACCTCTAGGTCGTGGGAAATCGATGATTTTTTTTGCTGATAGAATGTGTCTCCCACTACTGCTTTTTTGGTTATTTGACTTCTCTTTGTCAAAAGGAAAGTTAGGTTATCGGTGGCTGAAGGGAGCTTAATAGCGAGTCGGAGGAATGATTGAGGTTTAGACGTGTGACTGAAGACTGTAACATTAGGATTTTGTTTAATGAATCTTTTTTGTCCGACGAAAGTGGGTCCTTTAAAACGTACTCGAAGAACGTTGATTCCCAATTTCAACAAAATCGATGTTATTTTGTACTTTGTGGTCAGCTTTTGCAACGCTGCGTTGCACCGCTTAGTCACAACTATTTTTATTCCTGGAACTTCAGCAAAACTTATAACATATGATACCGTTTGCTTCAGCTGCAAAATAATCCGTTATCTTTCATTATTTCAATTCAGCGAAAGAAGAACTTTTGCAGTTAAGTCAGATAATGACAATAATGATTTCTTTATAGACTGTAATTCGTTCACAGCGTAAAAGTTACGGCTCCAATTAATTATAAGTTGAAATTAAACGGTTATATTCTCGTTAATTTCCGACATTTGGCTTACTTTGTAACTTTTTTTTTATAACAAATAAGATAATGAAAAAAATTAATGCAAATTAGTTAAAATTGAGGTTTTAAAATATAATGTTGGTAATACGCTATGAGTCAGTATATTTTATATTACTACTATACTTTTCAAAAAACAGGTTAAAATG